TCTGAGAGGGAGATTACTTACAATGTAAGTGCTACTGTTGTAATCTTGTTTTTCCTCTCTTTTCTGTTAAATAAGCTGTTATTACGTAGACTAGTTGATGAATATCTCGACAGAAAAATCACTTACTCACACCAACCAAAGTATATACTGGATATTCTAAAATGCGTACTGGAGAGGAATTTCCCTGAATTCAGTGATTCATTTCATCGTGAAAGAATATGCGCTTATCTGAAAGCATGCAGACGTAACGCTAAAAGAAGGAATGGTGAACCGTATGTGAGAATGAGTGCACGTTATCTAAGTTCTGGAAAGGCATCCAGTTTGGCTGAAACTATTTACCTGAAAGAGCAAAGTTATTTAAACAATATGATTTCAGTGAGTGATTATCTGTAGAAATGAACAATGATAATTTTAGAACACAGAAAACAATAAGTTGATTGGGCAAGCAGCACCGATGGTTGGTTGTCATGAGACCACTGAAAATGAGATTAAAAACACAAACAAGCTGATTCATCATCAATCACAATTACATAAATTTCATCTCCAACAGGTTGACCCACAAATTACCACTCACACAATGAGCTATAATGATGACAATGTGAAAATTAACAACAGTCATGATTTTCCCGTAAATTCTGACGAAGAGATTCCTACTTCATTGAATTCTGTTTCTCAACAAGTAAGTGAATTTATTAATATCTGACTATTTAATTATGATGTACAGCATATAGATGGGACTGTATTTGTGAAATTATTAGAGCAAACAGCTGAATTTCTCCAACTAATAGCCAATCGTCTAGATGCTGGTCAAGAAACGTTCTCCTAAAATAAACTTGATAATGTCGAATCATAAACTGTGTTACTTAGATACATTATTTGTTCGTGATGTTTATATTATCTTTTGAAGTGTTTAATTATTACTAAAATTTGCTCTTTTCTTATGCACCAATATTGTCGTTCTCGTAGGTGTTAAAATTCAGAATAATGTAACGGATTTTAGTTAAACATAGTCGACATAGAGCCTAGAACAAAAGTACGTTACTCCAAGCTGCAACACGGCGTTAGCACGATGCGATAAAATTGGTAAAATGAATGGCAAACGAGTAGAAATAATGTGGTAGCAATTGTAGTCATACATACTACACATTGAGAACATGTTTTGAAAAGATGGAATGAAAACCTGTGTACAAAGGAATACTGAAACTCAAGATTGGGAGTTAAGGAGTGGATGTATTTGCCCCACTGTGATTGATCCTGAACCATCTGACCCAATGTATATAACGAACTTACTACTTACTGGCTCAACACTAGCTGTGTGAGGTACTAGTGAAACTAAGCAGAAGCCAAACCGAAGTAGGCGGATCTTGGTTCAAATCTGTGACCCAATAATTAAAAGCAAGAAATAACTTAATTCGTAAACCATTATTCAAAGTAGTGGGACTACCATTAATGATACAAAAAATGATCGCAGTCATCGAATTAAAATCACGTATTTTATGAAACATTTTGTCAGATAATATAACATTAAAATTATAACTTGCTTTATATTTGATAGACCACTCAAAAATAAATAATGTCACGTTATCCAGTTCTTAATTTCAATCGGATCTTATTGATTAAGCTGCAATGTGACTATTTGGTCAAACAAATTAATACTACAGTACAATTTTATGTTTAACATTAACAGATTCACTTTACGCACATGATAATTAGTAACACTTGTGAAAATATTAAAGTGCTTTATCTAGAATTCGATCAAAACATCCAAATAAATTTGGCTCAGACTCTTGCTCCAGTTAGATCTTAAACAGTAACTTACACTAAGTCGTGAACCGTCAGTATTCTTTTTTTCAACTCGTTGGGAAATATTACTAATAAATTATCTTGTTGTTTCGATGGAAGGTTGAACTGTATCAACAAATAAGTCATTAGTAAAGGAAAGTTTCTTTTTAACAGGTAAGTTAGAAGTAATAGGGGAAAAACTGAAAACAATTTAATTAACAAAGGTATTAGAAGGATGAATTTACTTTTGTAAGATGTTCTTAATAAAGCAGGGTTCACTAAATTTTTCTACTTGAGACTGTTGTTTGCCACATAATCTTAGCTAGAAAACTATTGGAAGCCATTGAGGATTGGACAACTGCTTAATTTTGTAGGATTAAATTAACTCATTTACCAGATACTAGGGTATGGGCCACACTCGAATGATATTATCTAGTTGACCGAACCGAAGTAGGCGAAGCGGAGTTCGGACCTGGGATTCAGAGGTTGAAAGTCGAACACCTTAACGACCATGCAACTGCTCTACACGTAGTATGAGATATCACAGATCTTTTAGCTAAAACAGTTTCATCATATTTAAGGTTAATAATTGCGTTTCAAAATGTATATAACTTTAAAGTTTACAAATACCAGTGAGAAAAAGCTCCAATCTAAATTCCAGCTATACGAAAAATGTATATCAGTTATTTTTTATAATAGTTAATTTTTGTTTAGCTAACAAACCAAAGGACACAGAAATTATCAATACAATTCCAAAATAAGTATCCCTTGATTTGGTGTATATGACAGAGTACACATCTATAATTAGTTAAGACAAAAGGATGATACCTTCCAATTATAAGTATTTACATATCAATATTCAGTTAGATCTTAACACTGCAATGTTTTAGAAAATATTACAGATTTTAAATAAAATAACTTACATAAACACAACCTTGTTATTAATAGCAATAGATTGTTTAAAAGAAGCATTTCATACATAAGTTATACCATCTATATTATATTATTCTGAGAAAAAGTCCGTTTAAATAGGAAAATATCACTAGTTGCTAAGAATTAATATTTAAATAAACCTGAGAAATAATATGTTTGTCAATGAATTTATTGAAAAAGGATGATCTCTCTGAGTTGTTTTAAGGTTATATATGAAGAAAAATGGAAATGATGGTATAAGATCTAAGGAGATAAGAAGTGAATAACATCTGGAAAATTAAGACCGATTTCGGGTCATATTGCTTAATGTCTACAACTATTGATCATGAATATTACATTGTACTTGATCAGGGAATCAACACCACCCCACACAATTCACCTTAACAGTCAATGACTTTATGGGCTAGTAGTCTGTTTTGGCTTGATCACCACCTCAGCTTTTGTTCAACCTACTTCTACACTAAAAAGCAAATATTAAAGGGTACGATTAGAGCATGAACTAAAAGAATACACAAGTTTAGACTGACAAAATATTAATATTAGAAATAAGTAAGCACATATATACTGTCAAGTGTAATTTTCATTTTCACCGTACAACTTCCCAAATCTTTTTCGTTTTAAAAATATTGGCCAAATATCATAGTTCTTTATGCACCTTCCATGGAAATTTCATGACTTAGTAAAGTATAATTTGCATTACAATTCTCAGGTATTTTCAATTAATATTTATACTCCATTCCATAAGATACATTCAAATAGCGGCAATATCTACCTAGTGTAATTATGCTGTAAACTTGACGATAACTATTCTCTAGTAACAAAATTTGTAAAAAAACGATATATTATTTATTTAGCAATTTCAATGTATTAATCTCGAAGAAATAAAAAAACAATAATTAAGAGGTACATAGGCCAAATCATATATATATATATATATATGGTACATTATACAAATCGCAACGATATCAAAGATAGGCATCATCATTATTGAGTACATTTCAAAACGAGTGTGATCCTATCGAGCTGTGTTGTTTTTTCTCATTTGCAAAGACCGTTATACACAAATACATACACAGATCTAGTATAATATTATGTCAAATTTAGAGAAAAATATCAATAGCACCAATTCATTGCAAAGACCTAAGCATTACCAATTGATCAAATATCTAGTTTTTTTGCATTGTTTCAGTAGAAGTATTAGTAGTATTGGTAGAAACATAGAAGCAAAAAAGAGCACCTTTTCTGGAGCAATCCAGAAGCTGAAATGATAGTGAAGAATGGAAAAAGTGAGAATCACAGAACATTAAAAAAAAACGAATGAACAATAACATTTAGACAGAAACGGTACTCATGAGTAGTACTAAAAAAGAAAGAAGTGAATTTCGGAGAATCGAACTATTATACTTATACAAGTGTGTGAAGCATTAACGGAATTCCTTTATGTGGGAAGGTGATTAACTTGTGAATCTTACATAAATTAATATATAAGACTAAATAAAAACAGACGAACAGTTGCTGAGACTGTGTCCCACATATAGAAAAGATATGCATTGTGACAAACAGATAAGATTTGAGACAATATAAATCAATTTCACTGTCAAACACAAGGAAAAACGAAAAAGATAATTTCCTAATTACTCATGAAGAACAAACCAAAAACCAACTCGAAAAGGAGTACATTTAAATTAATTTCAGTTATTGATTTGAAAGTTTGTTTAAAATTATAATCCTAGAAAATTACGTGAATAGAACGTGTAAAAACAATAACAACAGGTAAACAAAATGCTTTATGATCGCCAATGTGTTTAGTTACGAATATAAATAGATAAATAAATTTGTACATATAGTTACATTTATAAAGAACTGTGTGTAATTCGATAGGAAATAAATAAATACGCTAAACACTTTGAAAAGAATTCTCAAAAATACGAAGCATCATCACACCGGCTGTTTTGATGATGAGTGCACTTTCATCAATTAATTTGGGATAAAAATCACAAATACATAAGTGGGGACAACCAACCTGACCCCCCTTCTCTTTGAGAGAACAAAAAACAACAAACAATGATTGTTTATATTAACTTTTATAGAAACAAGCACATGCACATATACGACAGGAAGGTAAAGAATAAAAGAAAGAAGGAAAAAGTGAAATCATAAAACAAACGTAAAAAGATTCTAAAAATTAAATTTGATCATTTGTTGAAAAATAGAGATAAGGAGATTAACAAAATTTTTACATGTTCTCCCATATTTCTTGCTTTTATTCACATTCTACACTGAATTCATGGAGCACGAATCTGAGAACTTTAAAAATATAAAAAAAATTTCGACTGATATCAACCAACTTATGATCATATGCATTAAAATAAGAAATATTAAAATCTAATAAATATGATTCCAAATGCTATAGTACGTCCAATGTTGGGGATAGTTTCCTCTCCTCGAAATTTTTTCATGAAGCCGTGCGTTTATATAATCTGCTAGGGCAATCCTACTCATTGGTGTTATTTACGGAAATGAGAGGATGGAAAGCGAACATCTGTTGCTTAAATTGGGTTGGTGGTTACCGTGGGTCCACCAGACGGTGTTGGAAAACTGTGGTTACAAAACACTGGTGCCCATAAGCTGCAAGATCATGAAGGAACAAATAGTGTATAGACCTATTTTTGGTGACTACTTGCCACTGGAAAGCACCTTCCAACGTTGGTTCACTTTCTTGCAGATTAGATCTTTAGGTCAGATGTTTCGAAGCCCCCGAGAATATCCCAGTATAAACATAAATATTTTATGTTAACTATATTTTTGGTGCATAGCTGTGACTGGTTCTACGTTGTAACTGACTGCATAGCTGTCATATATATATATATATATATATATATATATATATATATATATATATATATATATATATATATATATATTGCATGTCCGTGCGCGCGATTAATCGTCCCGACTTCAGATACTGTAGTTACAGTTATACGGATACAGTTTATACTCTCAGTGTATCACTTGTTTGAAAATAATACTATGTACTTATGACTGGCAATGATAAATATGCTTTTTCAGTGTGATACTTGGGTTGTTTGACAAGAAAGAAATGAAAAGATAAATACACTTCACTAACTGTTCATCAAGATGTACAGGTTTATGCTGATCTTTACAAAATTGTACACTTTTTTCTTCGTTTGTAGTTTTCCACTTTTCTCGGATATTGTATACTGGCCATATGTGATTCACGAATTTTTTTACCAATTTCAAGAAATACCTGTATAATGAATGAAATATAAATAAAATTAAATGAATAAATAATTTAATAAAGACTCCTTATGATAATCTATTTTGATTGTGACATAATATGTAGAATTTATCAAGGTAGTAAGACATCAGCTTAACAAACATTATTCACAAGTACGTATGTGTATAGGATTTCATTGGATGTAGTTCGTCACTTCGCTTAAACGAACGCGTTTAGCTCTATGAATGGAAATAAAGTTCTATTATCTTTCCAAAAGTAATCGACAAAATAATAGAATAAAAACAACCAGAATATGAAAAACTCCTCACCAGTTTTTGTGGGATATCCAAAACGGAATAAATTTTACCTTTCATCATATAAAATACACGACAGAGATGTCATAGTGTAATGCTCTGAACGTTTAAGATTGTTAAGAAATCCTCTTTTTGTCATCATAGAGTAGACGTACCAAGTGTTTGATTTTTTTAACATAAGATGTGAATAATCGTGTTTTTAATTCAGTTTACTTTAATTAGAGTAAACTCATACAGAAATCATTTGTTATTAGCGTTCTACTGAATAAAAATGCTAAAATGGATAATGATTTTTACGCATAACTTCTTTAGATTGGTATGATGTGACAATGATGTTTCGCTTATAATTTTACTTTCGTTACTCCAGTGAATTTATGAATGACGACTTTGTAAGCCATGATGGATTTTCTATACAATAGTTTATGGTTGTGAAAAAGATTTACGGGGAAACCCTAAGCGTGAATATATTCTCACTCGGATCATTGGGGTTATATAGAAATACTTTTTATGGTGTTAAGATTGGAAAACCGATAATAAGCATTGAAAACTGTATATGATTTATATCTCTATTAAAACTCTTTTGATCTATATAAACTTCTCAATGAACAGAAAGTGTTTTCAAAATCGTGAGGCCATTTTACGGTTTGTTCAAGCTTATGGCGAACAAACTTCTTAAGATTTAAGTTGTAATGGTTGTGATTATCACACTTTAGTAATAGCTCAATTTATGGTTAATAAGTAAAATATACTATTATTAACTAGTGAACTACATGAACATTTATGTTACAAAAAGTGCCAATATTTGTTTTAGACTCATAATCTCGAACGTTTGGTCGTAATCAATTCGGTTGTTGAATAAACATTATCTCGTGTTGACTAATCGGAATTATCGAGCAAGAGTACGGAGTGAAGTGGTTGCCATATATAACTATAAGCGCTTTAATATTTAATGGAAAACCATGTAAATTACCTTGTAAAAATGCAGTCAAAAAGAAAAGTCAGTTAACAAGCGTATTAAAGGTGTTGGCAAACAGAAATGGTACGTAAACTGGGGACGGGTTATGAACGAACAGATCATCACCTCAAGTGCTGTCCGTCAATACTATCCACTATCTCCATTTTTGTTTAACTTCATCATAGACCTACTGATGGAAATAACGTTCTCGTCGGCTGAATTATCGGGTATTGATCTCCTGGAAGGAGATCCACTTATCGACTTAGATTACGCAGATGACATAGTCCTGTTTGGTGAAGAGGCTAATAAAATGCCGTCTTTTGGTAGCACTAAGCAACAATGCCAGAATGTTTGGAATGCACTTCTCTTCCTCTAAATGCAAGTTGTTGTTTCAGGACTGGTCTGCGTCAATACCTGAACTAAGGATAGGGAGTGAAGCAGTCGAACGCGTTGACAACTTCACTTATCTTGGAAGTCTGATCAGCCCTAATGGGTTGTTGTCTGATGAAATCTCAGCACGGATTCAGAAAGCTCATTTAGCTTTTGCCAACTTACGTCACCTATGTTGAAGGCGACATATCCGTCTATCAATATAAGGACGAGTATACTGCTCGGTAGTTCGTTCTGTCTTTACGGCTGCAAAACGTGGCCATTAAGAGTTGAAGTTACTCATAAGCTACTAGTATTTGACCACAGATGCCTTAGAAATATTGCTGGCATCTGTTGGGATCACTGGGTAAGTAATAGTGAGGTTGGACGCAAGGTATCAGGGAATGATGGTAAATCTGTTGATGAGGTTGTGAATCTTCACCGACTGAGATGGTTGGGCCACGTGTTACATATGCCTGAATACCGATTACCATGACGCGCAGTGCTGACCAGTGTTGGGGATGGTTGGAAGAAAGTTAGAAGCAGCCAAACCCAAACATGATATCAGTGCTTGAAGCCACTAACTTCTGGTCTGAGCCATGTTGGTAGATTCACACAACTTGGTTGGGGTCAGCGTGACTATCGTCACCAATGGTGGGAGACTCTGAGTGATATGGCTCAGAAACAATCACAATGGCATAGGTGTATACACTCTCTATCTTCCCTTAAACTAAGAGATTAAAATTGCTTCATATCTTTCTTTCTACGAACTAATTTTTTCTTCCTGTACTATATCCTTACATGCAATCTTTCTTTTATATATTACCATCATTGAAGTAACTGATTTTATGAATTCCGTGTTCATCTTATAGTGCTAATGAGGTGTGGCAATTTGGACTGATGCATATATGTGTTTGGTCCTATATTGTAGCTGACTGACTGAGAACATTATCTTAAAAAAGAATTGGATATTTTTTGTATTTTCATTGAAATAAACTTTTTCCTGGTCTGTACACCACCATGGAGCGAGAAGAAAATTTTCCCAACTAGAAGGGAAAGCCTTTTAATGTTTACTAATGCCAACTACGTACATACTTCACAAATGATCACAGTTCATGCAACACTAAGAATGATATCACAGAAAAACAATTATAATTGTATTGATGTGTAGGACAATTTCGTAACAGAAATACAGCGCACTTCAGTATAAATTCATTTTCCAAACTTTTAGTCAAATTTCCTATTGAGAGACTACTACCCAATCAATAGTAGTAACAAGCGTAGGCAGATATGAACAGGCAATCGTGTCCCCCCACCTTTGTCTTCCCACTTCCCCATTTAGTCGGACAAAGTACAAACAACTCTTCATAGGAAAGAGGTTTACGAGAGCCAGTTTCGCTTATAAGCTAAGTGTTATACATGCACCAGAGAGGCAACAAGAGGTGGCAGTTAAATTTCCAGATACACGGGAGGTAGATCGAGCCGGTTTTCTGTATTGACTACATGAGAATAGGTTAATGATCCGACATGGGTCCTGTATATGTGTTTCGGAGACATAGCATATAGTGATGGTACAAGATTCTAGAGTCTAATATAAGGGAGCCTATTGGCTTATTTGACATGAGGTTCGAACATCGGAAGCGCAGGTTCAATATACTATAAACAACATCTCGTAAACTCGAACAGTTAATATTGATGGTGCATGGGGAAAATATCATAAAAGAGTTGGTGGTGGAGATAGAAGGAATATCATGAATAAGACAATCTCTAGTGCCATTAAAGGTATGAGGGCGATTGTCACTTCCCGGTCGCCCATACTGTGGAAGGATATTGCTTATTGAGGGATCTGAAGAGAAAACTGGGTTAGTGGTGGTCATAACAACCTGGAAGCGTAACAGCAGAGCCTGATGGACAACTGCTAGAGGTTGATCACACAGCCTTTTTTACAGGAAGTTTATGTGCTATCTGATGAAATATCGGGATGAATTCAGAAAACCCGGTTGACAACTACCAACTTGCGCCACTTGTGGCACAGGAGAAATATCCGTCTGACGACCAAAGGACGAGTATATCATGCAACAGTTTTTTCCCTTCTACGACCAATAATACTGTTACTATCTCAACTACTATGATTTTCCCTGAAAATTTCATCTCTCAGAGCTAATGGGGTATGTCAAATCAAACCAACGTGCACATGTACTAAGTTCTACGTTGCACTTTGACTGAATGAGCAATAACAAGAAGTTTCGTTGAAATACGAAAAACCGAAATATCTTTCAAAGCATTAGAATGATGAATAAAGTTAACAATTATGGGCGCCCAGTTTAAACATATCGGGTTAATGATAGGTGTAAGCTTGCAAAGAATATCCTTAAACACTAAAATAAATAGATTTTTCTATTATTACTATTAATATGAATATTGGTTCGGATCATGAGTATTGTACGAAAGTCGGTTGTAAAAAATATTGACTAACAAGAGTGTTAATCTCATTATAGAGGAGGAAGACCAACAGGTTCAATTGAACAGAATTTTGTCTACGCTTAGGGTTAACAAATATCCCAAAGAATTTTCAAAGATTATTAGAAATTAAACAAAAACTAAATTAGAGCAAATACCGAAAGATTGGAAGACAACCGTGATCATTCCATATCGTAAAGAAACATCAGAAGAAATTAAGAGGGTTCTAAACAAACATAATATAAAAGTGTATTTTCGGGCTAGTGACACCATGAGATCGGCATTAGTGAAAGTTAAGGATAGGTTCCCAAAGGAAGAACACCAGAATGTTGCCTATGAGACAAACTATCATGACTGTAATACAGCTTAGATGGGAGAAACTTCTAAACAATTAATAAGAGGTTGAAGGAACATACACAATGTTTGAAAAATGTCCCAAATCCTCGGATGATCTGAAGAAACTTGAGAATAGGTCGGCGATATCGTCACATGTGTTAGAAACAGAGCACAAGATCAATTTCGAAGGGACCAAAATACTTCAGAAAAGTTTTAATACACATAAAGAAAGATTGACAGCAAAAGCGCTGTATATATGGGCCAATAAGAACAGCCTGAACAGAAAAGATGGTATGCAACTAGCTACCACATGGCAAATGTTCACATGCATCGTTATTTTGACAAAAATTAATCTGGGATATTTTAGCACTACAGTTATATATTTGATGATTCTCATTTTACATGCAAATCGATGGTTCGAAAACAATTTCAATCTGCACTTCTATTCTTACTTCAAATAAAAAACAAATTAATACCGAATATCAACCATAAATAACTCAAACTTACACAAACACAATCAATCAGTCATTCATCTTTACATTGTGAACTTTTCGTATGATTCACAAATAACCGGTTCATATTATCCTACTTACCAAAGTCAATATCTGGATATGATTGGATAACCACTTAGTACATATTTGATTTGATCATATACTTTTTGATAATTTTGATTTCGATTACTACCCTGAAGAAGTTCAGACAAGTTTGCTGGAATTATTTAAACTTCGATCGCAGAGTTTATTTTAAACATAATTTTCACAATAATAATAATAATAATAATTATTATTATTATTATTATTATTATTATTATTATTATTATTATTAAAGACAATTATCTTTACGATTAAAAAAGTAGACCAGTTGTTTACCCTTTCAGCATCACTGTATGTTTTTGCTGAAGTTTCGATAAAGTCAAGATGCCAATCATCTGCATACTGCTTGCCTTGACTGATATAATTATTTCGAACACAACCTTTTAGATCACATTTATTAGCCACAATTAACATTGGTACTTGGTCAGATTGCTTAATACGAAGAATATGCTCACTGCAATATATTACACAAAAGTACAAGTTAAAGAGTATACAAATACAAAATCTAACAATTAACTGTTGATTAACTCAAAACTGTTACACAAACATAACTGTGAGTTTTATTTATTTGAACACATAGATATTGGTACAAGGAGGCACCAAATACATACGCGCCACAAAAATCTCATTTGACTTGTGTGAAAGCTGTGATACTGCCCGGGTGCCCAAACCGAACCAGGTGGTTTTCTTAGGGGGCCACACCCGGAGCCTTCGACCTGAAGGTCTGATCCACAAGGCAGTGGAGCATCGTGAGGAGATGCAGTCCCATGGAAGCTGGTGACCAACGATTGGTTCATACGTCATTTGTTCCTTCAGGATACTGGAGCCCATGTGCACCATTGATTTGGAATCAGGGTTTTCCGACTCCGCTAAGTGGACTCATCATGTCCACCAACCCGGTAAGAGCGCCGGACATTCGCTTTTCGTTCTCTCAATTTCGTAAACACCCCCGGCCACGAGAAGGCAGTGAGTAGGACTTCTCTGGCAGAGGCTATATACGTGTGAGTTTAGAACAGAGAATGGTAGATAAACAATCATTCGGTAGCCTAACTAGTAGACTTTTAACTGTTTAGCCAGACAGATATTAATTGACGGATAGTCCGCCCCCAAATGCCCTGGTACGACCAAGAGTGGAGAGAGTCCACTCTCCCTCTCGAAATGCTCTCACATGGCCACGCGTATATAGCCTCTGCCAAAGAAGTCTTACTCACTGCCTTCTCGTGGCCGGGGTTATTGTTTACGAAATTGGGAGAACGAAAAGCGAATGTCCGGCGCTTTAACCGGATTCCAAATCAATGGTGCACATGGGCTCCAGTATCCTGAAGGAACAAATGACGTATGAACCAATCGTTGGTCACCAGCTTCCATGGGACTGCATCTCCTCACGATGCTCCACTGCCTTGTGGATCAGACCTTCAGGTCGAAGGCTCCGGGTGTGGCCCCCTAAGAAAACCACCTGGTTCGGTTTGGGCACCCGGGCAGTATCACAGCTTTCACACAAGTCAAATGAGATTTTTGTGGCGCGTATGTATTTGGTGCCTCCTTGTACCAATATCTGTGTTCAAATAAATAATAATGTACAAATTCTGATACAAAAAGGCACACGAAATGTATGTCACAAACAAATGAAATGATAATAGTGCAAGGAATAGGGAAGAGTCGTGAGATAAAGTAAATAAACAAACAACAGTATTCAGCAAAAGATGCGGTGTAATCGGAAATACAGCTAAGACGAATTTCTTCCAGTTAAGAGGGTTGGAAGAAAGATAGGGACAGTTGAAAAAACGTTGTGTCAGTACATGAAATCATCGATTGTTGGACTGAACCATATTGACAGATGCATGTTACTTGGTTGAGGTCCATGAAATAACTAATCCGTGGTTGAAGTCTTTAGGTGACATGTCTCAGAATCAACCACAATTTCTCGGATACATACACTTTTTATTTTCCTCCACATTTTGAGTAAGAGTATTCCTTCATACATCTATTTTGGTTCCATCTCTTTGAACTATACTCTTATAGTTTAGTTTGCTTCACTACCTTTGCGAATATATTATTTGGTATTCTCTGCTATTCATCTAGTTGATTTTATCTCGTAGTTCAGATACGCTAATGGCAAATTTGGCCAACACATTTTTGACAGGTTCTACGCTGATCATGAGTGACTTCTGGAGAATGTAGTAGAAAAGTACAACGGTAACCCCAGTGGTTTGGATGATCCCTACAATTCCATATGATCATGATGGTCTAAGAGATGTCATTAAGCTCTCTTTCGTACCACAGAGCTATGTCATAAACTGACCACCCAGAGACGTAAATCTCGCTCTACCGACTTTAATCCTCATGAGAATAAAATCACGTGAAGACCAATTTTGCGACAATTTAAAGGTGGGTGAATATAAAATTTCCTCCCATATTATCATACAGTCTTTTCTAATTGCGTATTTTATGCTCTTTACAGGCCAGCAGGCTGAATAAGATACATTACTAAAATCTAGTCTTGAAGAAACTCAATAATAGCAATGAGTTTAAACAAATATTGAATGAGATTGACAAATTTATTCGTAGTGATGAAAATTCAACCAAAGTAAACTTGAAGGAAAGGACAATCTAAACACTTATAATAAATAAGTCAAAATCAGAAACAAGATAGGGATTTTATTAATAACCTCAATCCTTTATCATACTTGCTGTCTGTTCAAATTCTGTGAATCTATGATGACCATAAATCATAGCTATTACCAGCCCTGAAATATTGAGAATTAAGCAAACCGTGTCTTCTATTTTCATTCCTCGCACTTAATAATCAGTTACTGAAAACACTTCGTAAGGAATATTTATAACAATAGAGACAGTAGCACAGCTAAACAAATAGTAACGTAACTGGGCTTTTAAATGACAGCTTAATTTCGGGTGTAAAAATGAAATAGGTTATCTTAATTTGAGTAACTGATTGCAGGAGTGTCGAAACTGACATTAGAGTATATCGACTTTGACAGTTATAATCAAGGAACAGAACCGAGTATAAACGTATTCTTTAAAAGTCCTTATGATAAAATAACATGGAGTACCTGTCATTATCTAACCAAGGAGCATATCTCACCCTGGTAGTTACCACTACCTTGAGGATAGGGTGAGTTCAAAGGATATTGATGACTGAGAATACTTAACTAAATTCAAAGTTTGTGATTTTAGTTCTGATGAATGCATCAAACTGGGAAAATCAAGTATTTATGATTGAACACCAGTTCCAAGAATATACCAAACAACCAACACTGCATTGAGTACTATTAAAAATTAACCATTAATAGATTCTTCGATAGGAAAACTCATGTAACTGAAATGGAGTAATTTACTGTTTAACGAATACTAAGTGGAAGGGAGTAGAACTTATTCTTATCAGTTCTATAGTAGTTCTATGATAATACCAATGTGAATGTCGTACAATATTTAATATAGATATTTCAAATGAATGAATTATAATATTTATTTTTATATAATTCTATAAACACACCACTTACCGAAATGTTGCCAAAGAGTTAACGGATTCGCTATCGTCAATAGCAAACACCAATATAAAACCTTCACTAATTTTAAAAAAATAATCTCGAATCCCTCTATAATCCTCCTGACCTGTATATTTTATTTATTTATTATTAAAAACAAAAAAACAAATTCTGAAGAAAATGAAGATCAGTGTAACAGGATATTTGTTAATCTAAAGTCATTATATATTATATAAATATTAACTCATTTACTAGGTACGGATATGTGTGCTTAGCTTAAAGCCATACTTTAAATGTAAGGGGGTAGTGATATTATCTAGTTGTTCAGATGGGATTAGTTGAAACGGAGTTCGGATCTGAGACCTAGTGGTTAGAAGTTGAGCGTCCTAGCCACTGAATAACTGCTTTGCAAGGTATTCTGGTAATATAATAGGGATAGATCAAGTGACCCTTAAGGAATTAGTAAAGATTTTCAACTACATTCTAGCTAAAGATTCTTCATCTAACTTTATATCTGTAAAACTTTCACAAGTTGAGATCGGAAACAACTCTAACGTTTCACTAAGCAGTTCGGCTCCGGCTTCAAGAAAATGATGTAGGACCGAAAATATCGAATATAAATACGGTTAACAAAGCAACTGTGTGTATAACGATTGAAAATGTGAAGGCGTGATAAAGAAAGAAATGAATAAATTTATATCCAGACCTGATGTGAAGAAAAACCAATGACTAAATACGACCCTGGGCTACGGTCGGAAATAAGATTAGTCAATTTGAATGATAGTCACACACTAAACATGTCAGAGCATGGACGGAATGAGAATAAATAAGTGTATATTTGTGTTATGTCAATTAGACCGGTTGTTTAAGCCATATCCAAGTATAATAACCTATTAAAACGAACACAAGCCATTTCTTCATAGAACATGACGTGGAAAAGAATAGTAGATTAAACTCGCATTTACTTATCAGTCAATAGTTATTAAGGTACTCCGTCTCGTCTGTTCAGACTGTTTTAGTTTGCGCATATATGTAGGGATTTGGGTGTCAAATTCTCTTTGTAAGAACTAAAACTTTTCTGAAGGATATCTGTCCGATTGACTTTAATTATGTCCCGTTCTTACTGAATGCAGTGCTATTGCTGATTTAGCTTCAAGCATTTTGAAGTCCTCTGAGGATCTAGGAAAATAATTCAAACATAGTTTGTGTTCCTTCACCATTACACTTAACTATCGTGATATCTCGCCTACATATTCTTGTGTACATCTTTAGTAGTATCTAGCTAAATCTTGCATGTATAAAGAAAAACGAAACGGATGTCTTATTTTAATCCATGAATTTTACGCAGTGATTGGATTCTGAGTACGATAGTCATAAATGGAAACGAATAATGTTGGAGCTAATCGATTGGGTTAAACCAGGGAAATTCATCAACTAACCTGAATATTTCTGTTTTATCCCTTCAGATGGCAAGCTAATATGGCTACAATATCGTACAGAATCACATAATTTAGTTACCAAACTCATCTTTAGTACAGAATAAAGGCAGTAAAATAAATCAGAAAGCAGATCAATAAAAGAAAATAGTCGACAAGGAATTAGATGCTGATGTTTCAGAAAAGCATAAGAAGTTAAGGCATTTGTATTATTATGATTATTATTATTTGTTTATTTGAACACATAGATATTGGTACAAGAAGGCACCAAATACATACGCGCCACAAAAATCTCATTTGACTTGTGTGAAAGCTGTGATACTGCCCGGGTGCCCAAACCGAACCAGGTGGTTTTCTTAGGGGGCCACACCCGGAGCCTTCGACCTGAAGGTCTGATCCACAAGGCAGTGGAGCATCGTGAGGAGATGCAGTCCCATGGAAGCTGGTGACCAACGATTGGTTCATACGTCATTTGTTCCTTCAGGATACTGGAGCCCATGTGCACCATTGATTTGGAATCCGGTTGAAGCGCCGGACATTCGCTTTTCGTTCTCCCAATTTCGTAAACAATAACCCCGGCCACGAGAAGGCAGTGAGTAAGACTTCTTTGGCAGAGGCTATATACGCGTGGCCATGTGAGAGCATTTCGAGAGGGAGAGTGGACTCTCTCCACTCTTGGTCGTACCAGGGCATTTGGGCGCTATGATTGGAGCAGGAGGCGCCACATTATAAAATGAGTTTATGAAGACAGAGAAAAAGTGAGTATGATATAAGAGGAGAGGAACAATGGCGATCAGTCAGAAAGTTACAACGTAGCACGTCACAAATATGCATCGGTCCCAGTTGCCACACCTCATTAGCACTATAAGATGAACACGGAATTCATAAAATCAGTTACTTCAATGATGGTAATATATAAAAGAAAGATTGCATGTAAGGATATAGTACAGGAAGAAAAAATTAGTTCGTAGAAAGAAAGATATGAAGCAATTTTAATCTCTTAGTTTAAGGGAAGATAGAGAGTGTATACACCTATGCCATTGTGATTGTTTCTGAGCCATATCACTCAGAGTCTCCCACCATTGGTGACGATAGTCACGCTGACCCCAACCAAGTTGTGTGAATCTACCAACATGGCTCAGACCAGAAGTTAGTGGCTTCAAGCACTGATATCATGTTTGGGTTTGGCTGCTTCTAACTTTCTTCCAACCATCCCCAACACTGGTCAGCACTGCGCGTCATGGTAATCGGTATTCAGGCATATGTAACACGTGGCCCAACCATCTCAGTCGGTGAAGATTCACAACCTCATCAACAGATTTACCATCATTCCCTGATACCTTGCGTCCAACCTCACTATTACTTACCCAGTGATCCCAACAGATGCCAGCAATATTTCTAAGGCATCTGTGGTCAAATACTAGTAGCTTATGAGTAACTTCAACTCTTAATGGCCACGTTTTGCAGCCGTAAAGACAGAACGAACTACCGAGCAGTATACTCGTCCTTATATTGATAGACGGATATGTCGCCTTCAACATAGGTGACGTAAGTTGGCAAAAGCTAAATGAGCTTTCTGAATCCGTGCTGAGATTTCATCAGACAACAACCCATTAGGGCTGATCAGACTTCCAAGATAAGTGAAGTTGTCAACGCGTTCGACTGCTTCACTCCCTATCCTTAGTTCAGGTATTGACGCAGACCAGTCCTGAAACAACAACTTGCATTTAGAGGAAGAGAAGTGCATTCCAAACATTCTGGCATTGTTGCTTAGTGCTACCAAAAGACGGCATTTTATTAGCCTCTTCACCAAACAGGACTATGTCATCTGCGTAATCTAAGTCGATAAGTGGATCTCCTTCCAGGAGATCAATACCCGATAATTCAGCCGACGAGAACGTTATTTCCATCAGTAGGTCTATGATGAAGTTAAACAAAAATGGAGATAGTGGATAGTATTGACGTACACCGCTTGAGGTTGCGAAAGCAGATGACAGTTCGCCATAAGCTCTGACTCGACTGGTAGTGTTCGTGTAAAGAGCCTTCACAAGGTTTATGTACTTGTGAGGTACACCTTTCAATGACAGACACTGCCACGGAATCTCGCGGTCTACGGAGTCAAATGCTGCTTTTGAGTCAAGAAAAACCATTATTGTCGGACGCCGAAAAGCATATCTGTGTTCTAAAATCCAACGAACGGTGAATATATAGTCGATGCAGCTACAACCAGTTCTGAAGCCAGCCCGATTTTCTTGTATTTGAAGTTCACGAGTCTTCGTTAGACACTCGATAATTACTGATGCTAATATTTTAGACACTATACTAGTCAAACGAACCCCCCTATAGTTATCATAGCATGATTTTGATTGTTTCTTATACATTGAGAAGATCAGCGAATAGAAATTAGGGAGTGAAATAATAATAGTAGTATTACTAGTAATAATAATAAGGGGAGTACTCCGATTGGAACAAATACAACCAGCAGGAATTCTTTCATTTAGATAAATTACTGTCACCTTTGTGAAGAAATTAAACGAAAGTTACAGCAGGATAGCCACTGGCTTCTATTCTGAGCCATGTCTGATGTCTCCAGTCAATTTACTTTATCATCTAGAACACCAACCAAGGAGCTGTGAAGGACCAACAGAAGGCAGTCCTGTACACATTTTTTCATACCACGACACCATATCATACATTGACCACCTCTCCAACTTTACCAACTAGTCCCAGCGTCGGCAAACATGTGGAATTCTCTGGGACGACATTCGTGGTACATGTACAAGCCTACAACTTTATTTTAACCTTCTACTACAACAAACTTTGTTCTGACGGATCGCTTAAAACAACTAAACCGAACTACAACTACACTAAATGGTGTCACTATATTGGTTAAAAGACCTGAACTTAATTTGAACAGGAATCATTCCGTGGATTTACGACAAGTCTAATAGTCTGAAGAGATTTATGGTTGAATATATCGACTTCAGAAGGCTGTCTGAAATCCATAATGAGTTGAAGTTACAACGTTTGATATTTAACTGACTTAGTTAAAAATACTTCCGGGTACTTAAGAGGGTATTATCTCAAAATTTGCAGAGTTCAGTTGATGCATCCAGGACTAATTCGAACTTAAAATGGTAACCTATGTAGTTGTACAAATGTTCCAACCTGGTTAAATTACCCTTTTAAATTACTGCAATAGTTCCAGTTTTGCGCTATACACCAGTGTTTGGTTACATTTGATTGGAATTTATGAATATTTGTGCTTATAGTGCATACTAGTTTGAGATGAGTAGCAGTTCTAAAAGCATGAATCATTTAATCTAATTGTATTATAGGATACAAAGAAATTGGAGGAATATGCTGAATATATTGTGAAAGAAAAGTACCAAACATTGGAGACTCAGGAAGTACTCTTAAAATGTTAAGACAGCAATAAAAATAACCTAAGAATATTTTGAGAACACAAATATCCTTTACCTGCAGTATCTAGAATATCAAATTGTAGTGGCACCCCATCCAACGTCATTTTTCTCCTGTACGAATTGGCTTTTGTTGGTTCATAGTCCTGAAGAAACTAAAGAAAAAATAAAAATGTAAAAAGTATGCCAAATAAATCACCTCACTATACACAAACTGGAGAGTTAGAGAACTCTTGCCAACCCCACCAGATCCAACGATGGCAATTCTTAAAATAGTTGGTTGTTGCATTAATGCTGATGTTTGGGGGAATTATTAGGTAAAATTAAATCCTATAGGCGCAAACACTAGAAAGTACAATGTCGAGACCAAAAGCTTCTAGTCATAGGATTATACACAGTATACAACGATCCGGTGGCCTTGGTCATTGATGGAGGTCGCTGAGCACCATATGGTCAAACAGTCACAAAGCGATTGGTGCTCCATCTCGACAACTTGCAAGTTTTGGCAGAAGCGGTCAAATCAAAACTTTGTCCGATTCCAAGCAAATTTGTGACTCATACACGCGCGATTTATGAAAGGACAAAGTCTGAATGGTATAGGTGATTTGATCAAGAAACACAATGAGTTCAATGACGCGCTCGTTTCAAAAAGGGCAGTGATTTTTGTACTTGTTGTGATTATACTTGCTTTGGGTACTTATTGCACCAAAAAGCATTCTTGGTCTACTTTAACTAAAAGTACTTTGGTTAAACTTTGAAATTTTTTGCGAAATTTTATCCTGAGTACCATTTTTAAGTCCTTGACTAACACCTGTGTTCACTTTGTGATCATTTTGTGTTTTTAAACCTTTAAATCTAATTACAATGGTTGGTAAGACTCACAAATGTGGGCAACCAAATTGTTTGTTCCCCGTTGAGGAGGGGATGCAATGTGATCACTGTAAAAAGTGGTACCACAAAATGTGTACAGGCCTAAGTCCGATGGGATACAAAAGATGCTCGAAGCCTAACTCGCATTGGCTTTGTATGTTCTGCTGTACGGATAAAAAAGTACTAATTAAGGAGGCTATGGGTCTATTGGCTTTGGCCTGCAAGAAAAACGATGACACATGCGCTGGCAACACCGGCACTGACAGTGACGAATGTGTCAGTGTAGTATCTGCTGTTACGCGACGACTCAAACAACCGACTCTGATCGACGCAAAAGTGAGATCTCCTTTAACATTAACAAAGGGAGTAATACCACCTGTTACTGACATTGATAACAATGCATCTTTAGTGGAAACCGACGAACTGGATAAAACCATCACCGTTCCAAATAGTCCCAATGTTCTGAGGGATGAAAAATGGACTACGGTATGTAGGAAACGAAACGAAAGGAAAAAATCTGTAGGCAGTACACAGGTAGTTAGTAACTCACTGATGGACTCTCATTGTGAGTCACAAACTGCACTACCAAAATCTGATGGTAAGAGTGAAACCCATCCTGGTGTGACTGAGAAGAAAAATCGAATAACAGCTAAAACTAATGACTGTTTACTTGAAAAGTCCTTGGTGGACTCTCAGACCAATCCGCCAAAGCTCCAAAGAAAAGCTTCGTCTAACACTGTTGTGAGTCACACACAGGACTCTGTTATAATAAAAGCTAATCGTAAGATACCAGTAGTTAATATACAGGATCTATCGTCACGGTCGAAAGCTGTTAACACAGTTTCAAAGGAAGCTAAACCCCTTCCTAGTTTAATTATTTGGGATCTAGAGGAGTCGAAAGATAACGACCCTGCTAGAAGACAGGCACATGACCTGCAGTTAGTGGAGTCTGTGGTAAGAAATGTACTACCTGAAGAGGTTTCAGGGGTACATATTACAAAAGTAATACGACTTGGTAAATGGGTTGGAGGCGAGACCCAACCAAGAAGAATCCTGAAGCTGGTTCTCGGGAGTTCCGAAGAAAGAGACATATTATTGAAAAACGCAACAAAAACTCGTGACTCAAATACCCGTATTCGACCAGATTGGCCGCTTGAGGATCGAATCAAGTGAAAGAATGCTCTTACGGAGTTGAGGGCTCGCAAGTTAAATGGCGAAAATAACCTTACCATTAAGGGTTTTCGGGTAGTCAGGTCTTGGAAGCCAATGCTTCCGAGGCCTGTATGGGTAAAACGATTGATTGTCAAAACACCTTAAGCGTGTGCTACACGAACGCCCTTATTCTTAGAAATAAAACGTCCGAGCTAAGTCTGATGGTGGAAGAATTATGTCCCGATATAATCGTTGTTACAGAAACTTGGTTCACAGTAGATATAGACTGTTCTCCGTTCATTGCAGGCTATATCTGTATTAGAAGTAATAGAGTTTCAAGTCGCAAAGCGGGAGGTATAATATTATACGTTAGGGATCACTTTCGTATACAATCAACCATATCGGAGGCTCATATCAGTGGCACATGTGAGGTTGTATGTTGTAAGATTAAATCTAGAAGTGGGTTAGTGACTATAGGGGGAATATACCGTAGTCCGTTTTGTCTTGCTGATGACTTTATCCTAAGACACATCGGTTCTTGAAGTATGGCAGAATGTTGTCTCATCATTGGGGACTTCAACGCACCTCATATCAACTGGATAGAGCTTACTGCTCCAGGTAGTGGTTTCGATAGCGACCTTTTATCTACCGTTATTCAGTGTGCGCTTGTACAATGTATCACAAAACCAACACATACTGATTTCAATCATGATTCGTCACTGCTGGACCTCGCCCTCACCCACCACTGTGAGGATGTTTTTGATATTCAGCACCTTCCTCCACTAGTGAACAGTGATGACGTTGTAATTCACTTTAAGTTTAGGACACATGGTATATAATTCGTATCTGCTCCACCCCGTCCCAATATTTGGCGAGCCAATATTCCGGCAATCAGAAACTGTGCTATCTCGACTGATTGGTCGGTCGACGCGGATGGATTGATCGAAGATGAATGGAATAAGTTTAAGGCTACATTCGAGTCCGTAACGTCGCCGTTTCAAATGGTTCAAATGGTTGTGGACGGAATAGAAGAAGCTTTCGCTTAACAGGCTTCCGTGTCTAGTAGCAGGGGATCACCAAATCCTCCAGGCAGGAACCTAAGTATGTTAACAATAAAAGAGGAAAAGAAATTGGTAAATCATAGTGTGATGCTGTCCTTGGTCCTTAAGAATAGGTCAAGTTGCCTCTTGAAGGACTCCTGAGAAGTCGCTTGGACTAGCTCGGCCGGCAGCGAGTTCCAGCTTTTGACAACTCTTAAGGAGTAGAAGTTGTGTCTACATTCCGTCTTGCTATGTTGTGTTTCCAGTTTCTGGGTGTTACCCCTTAGGTTATTATTCGAACTAAGCTTAAGTAGGTGTTTAAGAGGATGTCCAGAAGTGTTAAGAATACTATGAGCCATTAATAAATCACCTCTAAGACGCCTATATTCTAGTGGGTAAAGGTCTAGTGAACGGAGGCGTTCTTCGTAAGGCTTAGATTTGAGTCCTCGAACTGATTTCGTGGCTCGCCGTTGGATACGCTCCAAAGTGACCTTGTCCTTTTGGAGTGAGGGGGGAGTACTATGTTTCCGTACTCTAAATGGGGACGGATGAAACTATTGAAGATTGTGTGGAAAGTTCTTACGTCAAACTGGCCAAAAATGCGCCTCACCGTTAACAGTGCAAGGTTTGCTCGGAAGGCATTTTTGTCACAGTTAGCGTAAGACTTTAAGTCATGGGGCACCAGGACTCCTAAATCTTTTTCGACTTGGGATACTACTAGAGAGGAGTTTCCTAAGTTGTAACTGTAGTTTGCGACATGTCGCAGATGGACTACTTTACACTTTGAAGTGTTAAATGTAAGTCCGTTATCGTCTGCCCAACTTTGAAGTGGAGTCAGATCCTCTTGAAGTGCCTGTATATCGTCTTGGTTGCGTATCTCTCTCCAAAGTTTCACGTCGTCGGCAAAAAGTAATAAGTCTGACGTTACCTGTTGAGGAAGATCATTTATGTAGATCAAGAAGAGAAGAGGCCCTAGTACTGAGCCCTGGGGGACCCCACCAGGACATTCCATAGCTTGAGATAAAGTGAAATTAACCCTAACCTTAAAGTGTCGATTTTTTAGGTATGAAGTAAGCCAGTCGATTAGAGTTGGTTTGATACCTAATCGTTTGAGCTTGTTGATAAGACACAAGTGGTTAACCTTATCAAAAGCTTTTGAGAAATCAAGGTAAATGACATCAACCTTTCCCTTGCGATCGAGGATGCTTGTCCATCTGTCCACCGCAGTCAGCAGGTTGGTTATACAAGAGTAACCCTTCCTGAAACCATGCTGTTGGGGTGAGAAGAAATTTAAGGACAGTAGATAGTCATTTAAACCGTCGCATATCAGGGACTCCATGAGTTTTGAAGGTAACGACAGAAGAGCTACCGGCCGATAACTTGAAGGTTCATTGCGTCGACCCCCTTTGAAAATTGGTGTGATGTGAGCCAACTTCCAATTTTCCGGTAATTTGCCTCGGCTAAGCGAGTGTGAAAACATCACGCTAAGCGGCGTTGCCAGGATTGAGGCTGCCTCCCTTAGTATGGCAGGATGAACCATATCCGGGCCAGGAGAAGTGTCAAGTCTTAAGTGCTGCAGTTTCCGGAACACCAAGTCAGCGCTTAGGTCCACTTCAGAAAGTCCTGTGGAATTGCAGATGAAACTATCGTCAATAAAGTTGATGTCAGCCGGTTGAAATGTCTGAGAGTAATGGGCCGCCAGAAGGTTAGCGGCGTCGCCATCGTTGTTGGTCGGGCCGTTAAGACCTAGCAGTTGAGAAACTCCTGTTTTGGCTTGACGAAGAGAGGCTGCATAACGGAATAGGCTTCTATGGTTAGAGGCGAATTTGTCCATAAGCTTTGTTTGGTACTGAAGCCTGTCTTCTCTTATAGCCTTCGTGCATGTGTTCCTGATATGTTTGTATTGCCTATACGCTCCATCGTTATTAGTTCGTTTGTATTCCGCCCAACAGTGCCGTTTGCGGCTTAGGAGGCGAAGGGTACGGTTCTTGATTACTGTAGGTGGCTTGAAGCTTTTGGGAACCGTTTGAGGAACTGAATGGTCTGTAGCACATAAGAGCGTGTGCAGTAAGAAGCCCCAATGACCATCCACATCGAGTTGAGGGTGAACATCCCAAACCACCTGTTGTAGATAGTCATGTAGAGCTGGCACATTCAGCCGTTTAAAATTCCAACGCAAATTATTGTTGGGATACCTTAGCTTAGTTTTGATGACAAAACTGAAGGC